ATTTTTTTTTTTTTTTTTTTTTTTTTAACTAAGAAGCTTTGAAAGGATTGCCACCCGTGAAAACAATAAAATGATGACCATATAGCTTTTGCTTGAAATATTCTTCCGCTCGAACGACTGCCGAGGTCTCAAGTTCATAAGAATGATACTTTTATTCCGTGTCAGTTTTCCGGCGACTGAAATATGAAATAACGTGAGGAACTCCGTTCTTTCATTTAATTAAAATGGTACCGTATCCGTTGGCGCTGGCATTCGTGTGTAATTCTATAGGAGGCTCGCGATCAAATATAGTTAGAATAGACTCCGTGGTAAGTATTTGAACTATCCATTTACGGATATTACCGTGGACTTCTGACCGTTTAATTAAACCCTTTAACTTAGTGAGTAGACATAAGGATCGTACTAGGCGGAAATAGTTCGGTATAAAATTTCTAAAACAAAAGGCTTACTATAAGAATTGGTGTTAATCTCCCTAGAGTCAACATACATTATGTCAGAGTTGTCATTCGTTTTTTACAATTAGAATGGGGCTTGATAAAGTGTAAAATGATTGTTTCAAAGAGGGCATCCATTTTTTTTTTTTTTTTTTTTTTTTTTTTTATATCGAACAACCTCTTATAATTTGTAAGGTCTCTCTTAGACTATGTTAGGGTCTAAAGAATTAGGGTCTAAAGAGTTAAGAGGTGCCCTTAATAACAAAATGAGTTATACTTCTTAAAAACATCGATAAGGGCTTTGTTATCGTCGCCTTCCAAATAAGTTTTGATACGAGAAAAGTTAAGATTGTCTGAGGTTGAGCACTTATCTGTTTTTGTCGTTTCAGGTTTTGAGAAAATAATGTAGTCACTGTTTATTTCTCCTTTAATTCCCCACTCTACAAGGTCCCGTCCAACAACCACGGATTCAAAAATAATATTCTCTTTAATAATATGAAACAAAAGAGACACTGAAACATTTTGAATTATGACCGGGCTTAAAATTTGTGTATTACAATAAGTCTATAGACGTAGAAACACTAATAATAATTGACTGTTAATGTACACGAAGTATGACTAGAGTATTCAGTACCGAAGCGCAAGGTTGAATGACCTTTATTCGCTAATACGATCTAATATTAAAATATTACGAAGTGGTGGGTAAGCGTGAAACTCATATCGTCGCCCGTTCGCTTCGACCGTATACTACGCGTTCAGATGCCTTTCAGGGGAACTACTTCATTGCTCAAAGTACACAGAAATTTATTTGAAAAATTTTCAGATACAGACACACATTAGTACTACATGAACAAGTACACCCACTACTAAAAAGAAAAGGAACAGTCTCACCAGATGACGTCGTCAACTCTCCTCGGTTCGGCTTATGGTCACACAGATATCTCCTTCACCGGCGAGCTTCAATTACCGGTATTTTTTACAATCAAGACGCGACGAGATGTCCTAACTTTTATATCTGCTTCCGTACGATCCAGATTGAACCGGATCAACTACGTCGTCGAAGTTAGTTGAGAAGTTGACATTATTTTCATTGACAAGTTTCTCATTATTTTTTACAAAGTTTAACATAGATGGATGATCACTACTCTCCTCATTTTAAAGCCCTTTCGATCCCACTTCTGATGTAGGAGGGCGTTGTAAGAACAGGAGGGCCTTCATGGGAACTCATACTTTGAAAGGGTTAAAGTACAGTCTATTCAATACGACACCAACTAAATCGAAACACTAGATATAACTATCACTTCGATACACAGCGATTCGTCACGAGCGCGGTGCGCGGGCGTCATCCCGAACGAAAACTCCATCATAAAGATGGCCGCCCTCGCTACCATCACAATGACGCTTCACTAGGCTAACCTCAGACAGCTAAAAGTCAACCTGACGTATGATTTTTGACGGATGCGCCGTCAAATATCTAAAAATAATCTTGTTTGTTACAAACAAGAGTAATAAAACATTTTTTATAATAACTAATTTCAGTTGTACTTCGAGACGGCTCTTCACAGTAGTAAATGCAACTCTTAAAGCGTTCCATCCAATGAGTGAAAAAGCTTAAATCCTTAAAACCCGCTGCCGAAATTACATTCATTTTATTTGACGAATTTTCCATTAACAATATTACGAGTGTTTCAAGGCGTTTGAACATCCTATAAACATATTGTGTTTTGTATATAAAAAAACCTTCAAATATGTAAATAAAAGTCACATCTTCTAGCATATGTAATATTTAATAGAATGTAATCTTAGTTGAATTACTTAAATTTTTTGTAATTATGTTATTAATAGTAAAGCAATGTTGAGCTAATATTTAAATTATAAATAAATACTATAACTCTTGAATAAAAAACAAATGGAACGCAACATTGAATATACTTAATTTATGAATTCTTTTGTAATCAACTAGCTATGATTACAATAAGTACATATATTCGCTTTTATATTAAGACAGTGTAATGTGTGTGAGTGTGAGTGTCTGCTTGTGTGTGTGTGTGTGTGTGTGTGTGTGTGTGTGTGTGTGTGTGTGTGTGTTTCATTTATACGAATTGTATATATTTTTACCCTGGCCATTAAACTAATATGCAGTAGTCTTGTTCACGGTGAGATGTGATGAAAGAAACTGTCAATGAGTCATGTTGTTTGTCACCGCGCTGAGGTTTCTTATCGTTCTTGGATTTGGTTCCGTATATACGCTTGTATGAATGTGCTTTTATTTTTGTATTCATCAATGTTATATAAGTTTGTTACAACGTTCATATCTGTTTAGGTTCCGAAATAGATATCTTGAAACATAAATCATTAACCCATCTATATTTAATACCTCAATTATCGTACTTGTTAGCATTCGACATTTGCTCTAATTTATAAGTGGATTTCAATGACTTTTTTTATATTCTTAATAATTATTGTTGTTTATGAAAATTATATTCATATTATTTTAACAAAATAAAATATATTTCTCAACTTATTTTTTTTTGTGTAATACTTTACATACCTATAGTGTAAAACTTTGTTTCATAATACAATTAATTTAATATCTTAATTACATAATAATGAAACACACATGATTACTAAAGCAATGAAAAACTCCATACATTGCAAAAATATCTGTCCGTACAATAAGTTATTCATGAAAGTAGAATGAAACGTGAAAAATATGTTCAATTAAAAACCTCCTTTTTGAATACGTGTAAAAAGCATTTTTTAACTATGAGTGTGGAATATTACTTAATCAATGATAAAATTTTTGTTTAAAATTTGAAATTCTAATACCTAAATGATTTTGTTTTAAAATACTTTCTGAAACAAAAGCGATAAAATATACAAATTCAAATGCATTTTATTATTGAGGACAGGAATGAAGCAGTAACTATTTTTATTTTGAAATTAATATAATTTTTTATCAATGAAAAGTATAAAATGTTAGAGAAACGTTTGCATTCGTGACCTAAATATTAAGTTAAGTGCTGCGTGGGATGTAATAGGTCTATTTATATAGATAAATTTTAGTTTTAAAACAAATCTATTTCATTAATAAAAAAACCCAAATAAACTGCGTATTTCATTATTCTATTATTTTTTAAAGAACAATGTAATTTTGGAAGTATTTTAACTTATTTATAAACATCTTAACGTCTTTTTACAGAGAACGGATTCTCATTCCGGGGATTCCAAAACACTTCCCGAAACACAATAGTGTTGTGACGGGATAAAGTTTCCTGTTTCTATCGATAAGTGTCTATTTTAACGTCTAGTTCTGGCAACGGGCCAGGCTTTCTTTATAGTATAGGAGAAATGTGGAAATATTTTGAGATCAAACAATCAAAAACATCGTAATCTGTAATATATATTTGAGTTATGGATTGACTATGTCGATAAATATACTTGAAATTTTATATTTAATAGATAAAAATTAAATGTGTAACGTGTGGTAATATTAAATCAAACTTAATTTTTGCGGGACAATTGGTGTTAGGTATATATTAAATAGATAATTCTGTTTTTTTCAATTATTATATGTAATAAATAATTTAATTAAAATCTTATAAACTATGTATAACTATATAACTTCCAATATATTCAAAGAAATTTAACTTCTGAGAATCAATTAAATTAAAACATACACTCCGTTTTATATATTGAAGCTGCTTTTCTAAATGAAAATATACACGTAATAAAAGGTAAATATTATACCTATGTATGTATATATTCTACATTTTTCAGTATGTCTTTCAGTTTGCTATCGCTCGACTGTATGGATTCTTTTATTATTAATATTTTGATAAAAAAAAAACAGTCCCGTAGACGAAACTGCGGACAAAGATAGTATTAACGGAACATCGTGTTTTTTATAATCATGAATACAGCTTTATTTTGATTTCTTTCTTTTTGTTTTTCATTAAGACAAACTGGATGTTTTAATGAAAAAGAAGATAACATTTTAGATGTAATATATCGCAAGGGATTATATTCTTTAACGTTTTTATCGCTTTCCTTTACTGCGTTTAAGTTTTGTAGGTCGAGCAATATGCCAGCTTGTTTCAAGAACAAAATGTGTGCCTTTAATGACAAAAAACTATATTATACATATTTTATAAAAGTAACTATACTATCGCATTAATTATGGTACATTATTATTTTTTATATAACAGTAATTGTATAACCTACAAACATAGATTTGACGTTAAACAGGTACATCCTCATTTAGTTTATATGGGAAGCATACGAAAATAAACGTGTGTAAGAAAAAACCATTTGCTTTGACTTAATAACATTTTCGTTTCCCGTGTCTCCATCTATTTGCTTCCCGGAGTGGAATTTATTTTCGACACACGTTACAAAAATAAATATCACGTCCTTAACAAGCATTAATGAAATTCTCCTTATCGAAAGTATGTTTCCGTTTCTTTTTTCCATCGTTTGAAAATAATATGTGTCATAGGATACATTAATGGTTTTGTTTTGAAAGAAAGTGTTTAAGGAAATTTGATAAACGAAAATGAAACTCACCGTATACTTTCGACCATTGAGCAGGGGGTCTCCAGTCTGGATAGTGCTTTGGAAACTTTTCTCTTGTCCAATATGTATGTAATACCATTCGATAAACTGTCATCTTATCCGGATTACATGCATCTGAGTCGCTCGGTGGTGCCGCTGCGATGGCAAGCACCGGCAGCATCAGTAACAACCACATTGTATCGATATTGATAACCACTACACAGTTCCAACACTAGCTACGTTCATAGTGGCGTCACACGCCCTGTTTCGTACCTGAAACAATAATATAGCTTGAAATAATCCTTTCGATCCAATATAATCTCATTGAGATCACAGTTCAGTCATGAAGGTTATGAAAATTTATATAAATTTAAAAATATCTTGTTCGGTTCCGTTGTTTATGTTGGAGTTATTAATGAATTCGTCAGTCAATATGATCCAAAGTTCGACGAACTTAAATCTATTTCGGTTCCTTTGAGGTGCAAAACTATTTAAATTAGCAGTGTCAGCTGCGTATTATGAAGCCACAAAATGAGCCTTGTTTCATACTGTTACGTCTTATTTACTGTAATGACGGTTGCAGAATTAATGTTATTAATACTGAATGTTACGTATGTGTTGACTACATTTTCCCTCAGATTTTACATACGTTGAAAGTTGATGATTTTAGATATTTTAGTAACTAAAAGACGGATGATGTAGTTGGTGCTAAAATAATTCTATAAACACCAAACTAAATTAAATCCTTAATTCCTAATCTCACATCGTTACTCTCAGAAACACATAAAAAGTATAAGATACCTTTATATTAAAATTATACATACAGTTTTTCCATACAGAATTGTTATCAAGCTTTATTAACTCAGGTGCATTAGTGTTATATTTTTTATAACCATTTCATATAGTACAAGCAATCGTTACTCAATACGTTTTAAAAGGGGGACGATTCAATTATCCGCGAGTATGTTCGTGACGCGAATGCTCATATTCTCAAGAGAATTCATTTTGTAAATTGAGCGGTTCATGTGCTTGTATATAAATTATAATATTAATTTTGCCTCTTTGCTTTTGATGTTGCGACTTTCAGTTAAAATGGGGAATCTAGAATCGTTTGGGAATACGTTACTGTATAATATATTTGTACTATACTGTATATAAATCTATAGGAAAATATTCATTTGTATGAATAAGTAGTGTAACTAGTGTGTGTATTTTATTGTAAGTGAATACAAGCAAATATTCCGTTCTTATTATGTAAATTTCTGGCTTGGTTAAAATTCCTATCGCCTTAATAATTTACAAAGAAATTATCAATACTTTGGATGAAATCCGTATCGATATAAAATTGAAATAACTACTCAACCGTTATGATTAGATTTAACATACATATAAAAGATAGCGGAAAGAGAAACCTTTTTCCCGAAAAAAGATCTATTCCACTGATAAAATAATATTATTAAATCTATTGAAAACTTTAATAAATTCATTTCAAAGGTGAAATTATAGATCGACCAATTTTCATATAATCCACTAACAAAAGTTTAATAATAATAAAAAAAGTTTTAGTAATAATATTTTTGATTTGATTGCTTAAAAAAACGTTAATATTTGATTCGATTCTATGTGTCATGTATCAAAGATATTTATCGACATGCGACAGGATATACAAAATGTTTTCGATGCAATTACAATGAAATCGTGCTACGCTGCTGTGTTTTAAAACGGCATGGGTTTATATGAATTATTTTGCAATTTATTTTGCACGTAAACAGAATGCATTAACAAAAAAATTGTACAGCAATTTATGGATATCGCGTTTTGAATATATTAGTTTTTCATAGAATAAAAAACGGTTTTAAATACAATTTTTATAATTAATAGTAAGCATAAAATAACAATGAAATATGATTACTATAAATGTTTATTAACAATCACTCATGAACTGAAACGCTTTCGTTTGGATCGTTGTAAGTATATTTTTTCTATGTTGTTGGAATGCTTCAATCGATTATGTCACTCTTACTATTCATTATTGTAATTTTACGAAATTGTATTGAAGCCACCTTCAGATATCATTCCATTGTTTTTCAAATATTCTAACTCCGATCACGTCCACATTTACAGTGCCGGTGGGAAACAACTCGACGCAGGTCAATCTGGCGTGCACTTTTATAAAGGAAATTCATTTATTTATATATAAAATATTGTTTGTTCGATGAAACTAAAGAATAGAGTGACCCATTTATTTCATGCCTTTATTGTGAATATTAAAAAATCTTTAACTTTTTTTTGCGAACCCTGAGATTGGTAAATTTCTTTAAAATCATGCAATAAATACAATATAATATGTACATCCATTACAATGTTCTCGTCAATTGATTTGCCCTGAATAATGCACATATGTTGTAAATATTAGACTTTTAGATATCCTAATTACCATACACTTTATATTTACTTCATTGAGTTTTATTTCATATTTGTAAGCAAATCGTAAACAATAATAGTGCTTGAGTATCAACAACTGTGAGGACATTGTTATTATACTTGACGGACTTATTTTTATGGCCACGAGAAAAATATATCCGAGACAGTAAATTTTCTCAGAAAGCACAACTTTTCTCGCATAAATAAATCGCAATAAAAGCCCTACAAAGAAGATATGAATTAATTTAAAGCAAAGCTGCCAGGAAATTAACTATTTAATACAGAGGCTTCATGTTGGATCTATATAAAATTAATAAAATTGCGTAAAATATAAATATTTTATTAATCTGTTTCCTTAAATGTACCAATGGATTATCGTTCCTTTATTTTCTTCCTGTAGTGCGTTTTTTCTCATCATAGCAGCTTTCTTGTAGTTAAAATATAATATTATTTACATTCGTCTGTTTAGTAGATCATTTGAAACAATCAGACTGACTGACACAAATGTACCAAGAAATGTATTTTCGTATCAATCAATCGAAGGAACCAATTAAAGTAAGTATGACGATTGCGTTCACAAATATTATTTGATATTTCAAACAGACATTCCAATTATATTTAGATATTTAAAATATGCAAGAGGAGACATTTAATTTAATTTACATTTAGGTTACCATAAAAGAGGTAATTTAAACTCTGCTGTTAGGAATAACAAATATTTTAAGAGCTTTCCGCTGTTCTGAATGTATATACATTGTATTATACCATTAAAAACAATGGCATTAATGTTTACATTTCTGTGAATTTACAACTAAAACCTACATCCACTAAAAGCTTTGAAATTCGCAACAATATGAAATATTAATAAGTAAGTAGTGAGAATTAAGCACTGGCTCGTTTATAAACTTGGTAATAAGCTTGTTGTTATTGAAAAACTGCATCAGGAATGTAAAAAAATTATCTAAACAATTATATATACAAAGTCTTATCTAAATTGGGTAATCAAAGAGCTGTTATGGGAGCCCATTCACGCGGCATTGTCCTCCAGGGTTTTTTGTTTCGAGTCCATCAAATATGTAGCGTTTAAAGAATCATTCACAACATGTGATCCGAAAACCGGACATTCTTTAATTACTTTAAATGGACCTTTAATGGAATTGAATAAAAGACCTATGGTATAAAATATCCATTTGATGTCTGAAAAAAATTATTAAAATATTTTTTTAATACATACATCTTATGTCGAAGGAAAATTTAAACATTACTATAAAATTGTATCGATTATATCGACTACTGATAGTAAGATTTTCCATAAGTATTTGTATTTTTTATGAGCCTCTATTTTTCTGTACGATTTCTTTTGTATGTGCTGCTTAATATCCCAATCTCTCTGGAAGTTCAATAGCCCAGTTATTTTAAAAAGATAATTTAGGTAGACAAAACTTACAAATATGTCTAGAAGAATGGAAAAAATACTCAATTTATATTGGCATTATAAGTAGGTACTGTAAGTTCAGAAACAAATTCCATGCCACAATTTTCATATTCTCTTTTGAAATAAATTGTGGAATATTTCTATTTAAACACATAGAATAAAACATGAAAACTTCTAAGGACATGTAAATAGTTTTGTTGTTTATAATTAAAATGTCGGCTTTTAAAATCTCTTTTATTCCGTCAACTTTACAACAAAGAGACGAAAAAAATATATTCCTCTATTCCGTTGGGTTTAAAAACAAGAATGTCTTAAAGAATTCTGAGTGCCCAACATTGCTTTCATTGTTTTTGTGCCTTGATCCCAATGCACCCGTAATTTTATTAAGCCATTGACGAACATAAATCTAGTGACTATTCGATTAGAAAATCGTATAAGTCATTCTAAGAATAATTAAAAACTATTCATATAAAACTTTAAGGTTTTGGAGATATTATTTACTCTTAAAACTATTTATTTTATTAGTTTGCGTTCAAGTGCTTATGATTATTGTGTATGAAATATTTAATGATAAAATATTTGGTCTCTTCAAAGAAAATTGATGTAAATAAAATTAGAATAATTTTAAAGAGATACAAAGTAAATATTACATTTCTTTATATTCTGATTAACATCCATAAAGTAATTTCATTAAACCAACCAGTAAGGCATATTCATATGGAAATATGTCATTGCTCACTAAGACAAAGTTTGGCATTCCATTCATAAGTATAAGGTTTACATCATGCGAAGTTCCTGAATTTCAACTCCAAAGTGTTATTAAGTTTTAATCATTTATAAAGCTGGAGCAACGATGAGACACTCTCAAAAATTAAACTGAATTTAAATTATAATTTATATCAGTGAGTTACGGCTATTCAAAATTGTTTTTATAAATAATAATTGTAAAGCTTTAACTGTAAAATATGCTGTATGATATGCTCACTAGGTTCTGAACATTCAACCATCCTTTTCATACGTTATCAAGCCAGGGCTTTGAGGTTCTCATTTCAATACAGATAAATGAATGTAGCTGGAGTATCAGGTTATATCAAATATAACACATATAGAGATAAGATACTACGGTCATGTCTACATAATTTTTTTGCAAATGATTTCTCTATTAAAGACTTATACTTTAGGTAGGCATAATATTTCATTGGAACCGAAAATAATTCACTCATGAATAGTTTTTATTACCTATCTTAGTTAGAAGTAACAACGCAAAATATATGCACATGTATTACTGGAATGACTGCAAAATAGCCAAGTCAAACTGAAATATTTTGTTTGTAATT